GGGCATTACATAATGGTAAAAGGATCAATGCATCAAGAGAGCTAACTATCCTAAATAAATACACACCAAATACAGCAGCACCCAGGTACATGAAGCAAGTTCTTAATGACCTACAAAGAGACTTAGACTCCCACACAATATCAGTGGGAGACTTTAACACCCCATTGTCAATATTAGACAGATCTCCAAGACAGAAAATTAACAAGGATATCCAGGACTTGAACTCAGATCTGGACCAAGTGGACCTAATAGACATCTACAAAACTCTCCACCCCAAATCCACAGAACATACATTCTTCTCAGCACCGCACTGCACCTACTCTAAAACTGACCACATAATTGGAAGTAAATCACTCCTCAGAAAATGCAAAAAAATGGAAATCATAACAGTCTCTCAGGCCACAGTGCAATCAAATTAGAACTGAGGATTAAGAAACTAACTCAGAACTGTACAACTTCCTGGAAACTGAACAACTGGCTCCTGAATCTCAACTGGATAAACAATGAAATGAAGGCAGAAATAAAGATGTTTTTTGAAACCAATAGGAATGAATATACAACATACCAGAATCTCTGGGACACATTTAAAGCAGTGTCTAGAGGGATATTTATAGCAATGAATGCCCACATGAGAAAAAAGGAAAAGATCTAAAATTAACACCCTATCATCAAAATGGAAAGAGCTAGAGGAGCAAGATCAAAGATACTCAAAAGCTAGCAGAAGACAAGAAATAACTAAGATCAGAGCAGAACTAAAGGAGATACAGACACACATACACAAAAATCTTTCAGAAAATCAATTAATCCAGGAGTTGGTTTTTTGAAAAGATCAACAAAATAGACAGACCACTAGCCAGATTAATAGAAAAGAAAAGGGAGAAGAATTAAATAGATGCAATAAAAAAATGATAAAGGTATATCACTACTGATTCCACAGAAATACAAACAACAATCAGAGATTACTACAAACAACTCTATGCACATAAACCAGTAAACCTGGAAGAAATGGATTAATTCCCAGACACTTGCACCCACCCAAGCCTAAACCAGGAAGTAGTTGAAACCTTGAATAGACCAATAACGAGGGCTGAAGTTGAGGCAGCAATTAATAACCTACCAATCAAAAAAATCCAGGTCCAGACGGCTTCACAGCTGAATTCTACCAGATGTACAAAGAGGATCTGGTACCATTCTTTCTGAAACTATTCCAAACTATCCAGAAAGAGGGAATTCTTCCCAAATCATTTTATGAGACCAACATCATCCTGATACCAAAACCTGGCAGAGACTCAACAAAAGAGGAAAACTTCAGGCCAATATCCATGATGAACATAGATGCAAATATCTTCAATAAAATACTGGCAAACCTATTGCAACAGCACATCAAAAAGCTTATCCATCACGATCAAGTAGGCTTCATGGCAGGGATGCAAGGCTGGTTCAACATAGGCAAGTCTATAAATGTAATCCACCACATAAACAGAATCAAAGACAAAAACCACGATTATCTCAATAGATGTAGAGAAAGCATTTGACAAAATTCAACAGCCCTTTATGCTAAAAACTCTTAAAAAACTAGGTATTGAAGGAACATATCTCAAAAAGATAAAGGCTATTTATGACAAACCTACAGCCAATATCATACTGAATGGGCAAAAACTGGAAGCATTCCCTTTGAAATCCAGCAGTAGACAAGGATGCTCTCTCTCACGCTACTTCTGTTCAATATAGTATTAGAAGTTCCAGTCACAGCAATTAGGCAAGAAAAAAAATAAATAATGGTATTCAATTAGGAAAAGAGGAAGTCAAATTGTCTCTATTTGCAGACGACATGATTGTACATTTAGAAGACCCTATCATTTCAGCCCAGAATCTCCTTAAACTGATAAGCAACTTCAGCAAAGTCTCAGGAAACAAAATCAATGTGCAGAAATCACAAGCATTTCTATACACCAATAATAGAATAACAAAGAGAGAAATCATGAGCAAATGCCCATTCACAATTGCTACAAAGAGAATAAAATACCTAGGAATACAAGTAACAAAGGATGTGAAGGACCTCTTCAAGGAGAACTACAAACCACTGCTTAAGGAAGTAAGAGGGGACACAAACAGATGTAGAAATATTCCATGCTCATGGTTAGGAAGAATCAATATCATGAAAATGGCCATACCGCCCAAAGTAATTTACAGATTCAACGCTATCCCCATAAAGCTACCAATGACCTTCTTCACAGAACTGGAAAAAGCCACCTTAAACTTCATATGGAACGAAAAGAGAGGCCACATCACCAAGACAATCCTAAGCAAAAAGAACAAAGCCAGAAGCATCATGCTACGTGATTTCAAACTACAAGGCTACAGTAATCAAAACAACATGGTACTGGTACCAAAACAGAGATATAGGGTAGATCACAACATATAAATGATAAAGGGCACACATCTACAACCATCTGATATTTGACAAACCTGACAAAAACAAGCAATGGGGAAAGGATTCCCTGTTTAATAAATGGTGTTGGGAAAACTGGCTAGCAGTGTGCAGAAAGCAGAAACTGGACCCCTTCCTGATACTTTACATTAAAATTAACTCTAGATGGATTAAAGACTTAAACATAAGACCTAACACCATAAAAACCCTAGAAGAAAACCTAGGCAAAACCATTCAGAATATAGGCATAGGCAAGGACTTCATGACTAAAACACCAAAAGCATTGGAAACAAAAGCCAAAATAGACAAATGAGACCTAATTAAACTCCAGAGCTTCTGTACAGCAAAAGAAACAATCATTAGAGTGAACTGGCAACCAACAGAATGGGAAAAAATTTTTGCCATCTACGCATCTGACAAAGGGCTGATATCCAGAATCTACAAAGAACTAAAACAGATTTACAAGAAAAAAAAACAAACAAATCCATCCAAAAGGGGGCGAAGGATATGAACAGACACTTTTCAAAAGAAGACATATATGAGGCAAACAAATATACGAAAAAATGTTCATCATCACTGACTATTAGACAAATACAAATCAAAACCACATTGAGATACCATCTCACACCAGTTAGAATGGCGAACATTAAAAAATCTGGAGACAACAGATGCTGGAAAGGATGTGGAGAAAAAGGAACACTTTGACACTGCTGGTGGAGTGTAAATTAGTTCAACCATTGTGGAAGACAGTGTGGAGATTCCTCAAGGATCTAGAAATAGAAATTCCATTACACCCAGCAATCCCATTACTGGGTATACTCAAAGGATTATAAATTGTTCTATTATAAAGACACATGCACACACATGTTCATAGTGACACTGTTTACAATAGCAAAGACCTGGAACCAACCCAAATGCCCATCAATGATAGACTGGACAAGGAAAATGTGGCATATATACACTGTGGAATACTATGCAGCCATAAAAAATGATGAGTTTGTGTCTTTGTAGGGACATGGGTGAATCTGGAAACCATCATTCTCAGCAAACTGACACAAGAACAGAAAATCAAACATCACATGTTCTCACTCATAGGCAGGTGATGAACAATGAGAACACATGGACACAGGGAGGGGAGCATCACACACTGAGGTCTGTTGGGGGGCACCAAGGGAAGGACAGTGCAGGGCTGGGGAGGTTGGGGAGGAATAACCTGGGGAGAAATGCCAGATGTAGGTGATGGGGGGATGCAAGCAGCAAACCACATTGCCATGTGTGTACCTATGCAACAATCCTGCATGATGTACACAGGTACCCCAGAACCTAAAGTACAATTTAAAAAAGTAAAATTAAAAATTAAAAAAAAGAGTGTAAGTGGAAGCCCACATACCATGTGTCTAAATAGTTGAAGGTGATAACTAATAATGTTCTGGCTTCCTTCTTTAATAAATGTGTCTTCAAAAGGAATAACGAATTAAAAGACTTGGAATTCCTCAGAGGTCCTTGCCAGACAGAGCCCCTGGCACCCTGGCCCCCACTTCACTTCCTACCTCCAATTCCTTCCACAGCAAGAAGAACATGAACACACATGTGAAGATGCCCTGCATGACCTCTCCTGCCCCAACAGCTACCATTTGGCTCCCCTCCAGTCTAGGAAAAAGATGGATATGGAAAAGAGGTTTTTTAATGCCCTCCCAGCAGCAGGCCTTCTGGGGCCTTGGCTATCCAATGCATGATCCAGAAGGAGCACAGACCTCCTGCAGACTCCTGGCTCCATGAGAAGTAGGGAGGCCAGAAGAGACCCAGAGCTGGACCCTCAAGAGTTCCAGCCTCTTTCCCATGCCTGAGGGTTGTAGCGCTGTAGGATGGGATGGATGATAGGTGCATGTTCTAATTTCAGATAGAAAATCTGATAATAAAGATAACTGTGGGACAGACTTATCAATGAACCAGTGAGCACTCTCAGAGGTTCCTGAGCCCCAGTACAACTTGTTAATCCCTTTTAAAGCAGTTTGATATCCTAACTTGTAACTGACAAATAATCATCAAACCATCTACCAACCCATATCTTTTGTTTGCTTGTTTGCCAAATTTAGCCCCGCAAGTTCTACCCAGTTGCCTGAATCAGTGAAGTCAGTGGCTCTTCACTGCTTAACCAGAATAAATCCTCTTTCCCCTGGGAGAGGGTTTGGTGTCTAGGTTTTCATAGGAAGTTAAGCTCCAAGGGAGAAACCTACTTGGAGTATTGCTGAATCTGTTTGTGTAAATAAACATTTAGCCTGCATACCTGTGCTGCATGGCTTATAAATTGGGGTTCTCTAGTAAAATAATTCATGTTTGCAAAGCTGAAGGAGGCTGGATTCTAATCTTAGGAATCTTATGGTACCCTCCATCCCTTACAACACACATCCATATGTTAAGTTCTATTATTATTTTATGTTAACTCAGGAAAGAGGGAATCCAGACTTACAAAAATAAATAAAATAACTTTCATTAAGTTCATAAATACACTTATGTTTCTGTTTTTCTTTTTGAAATTCTGTCTATCTATAGGTTGTTACCAACTTACCTTGTCACCTTTGTACCCAGGAATTCCCTAATTTAAGAAGAAAAGAAAACGTAAAATATGATAGTCTAAGGCAGAGTTAGAATAAGAATTAGGCATTTTTCAATTACAAGGTATAACAAAAACACATCTATACAGTCTGAAAAATTAAACCATAGAAATGTAAACTGTTTCATTTCTCTTTGTGCTTGGAGAAATGTGCATTTACTGAGGAGAAGAAAAGAATCTGTTTTTCATCTTTATCACATTTTATTCTCAGATTCAGATTTCTTTTCATATCCAATTTGTTATCCTTTGGGCCAGAACTGGAGGAGATAATGTACACTGAAAGTCATTGTAGAAGTGATGGCCTATAATGGTTCCTTCAAAATTGTTATACTGACTTTTAAACCATGAACTATTGCAGCTAAGAATGTTTCACAGCGACTCGTAAAGAAATTGGCTTTGAGAATGAGCTGAGATAATGGCCTTTAAAATGTGTGTAAATATTTGTATCCATTATGGTCCTCCTTTCAAATTCAGTCTAAAATATAAAACATCAAGGACATAAAAGGTTCCTTTATCAGCCCTAATCAGACTTTAAGCTACTGTCTTTTATCTCACACTAAGTCAGGGGCCAGCACTTCTCCTGTCTTCTGTGTCACACTTGGGAATCCTGTATAGTCTTTTCCATTGCGTCACTGCCTATGGCCCTTTAAGAAATACAATAGTGAATATTACATGGCCTAGGAAATTGCCAGGTGTCTGCAGGAGCAAGTCCTCTTCAAATGGGATTATTTGTCTTTTTCATACAGCTATATTTTTGAAGTATGGAAATAGAATTGTCATATATACTTAGATAACTGAATAAACCTATTTAATAAATAAGCTATTATTGCAGTTACATGTGAATCAGACTACAAAATTTCATTCTATGTATGACTTTTTTATTAATAGTATTATGTATTTGTTTGTAGAGAGAAGGTCTCACTATGTTGCCCAGGCTGGTCTCGAACTAGTGGCCTCAAGTGATCTTGCCACCTAGGCCTCCCAAAGTATGAGTCACTGTGCCTGGCCTTTTTTTTTTTTTTTTTTTTTTTTTTTCAAAAGGAAACTTCATGAAGGAAATAAAACTTCCAAATGTGTGGTCACTGAGGAATAGAAGATAAAAGTCTCCTATGAGATAATAAGCTTTTTAAAAATATAATTTTAGTTTTATTTTCACATACTTATATGCTTTATATGTAGAAGATACCTAAGAAATATTTCCTGAATGAATAACACAAATTTAAGATTGAGTTTTTGTTTACATTATCAAACTTTCTATCAGATTATTTATGAAGTTGATTTAAAATGCCCAGAGAATAGTTTTTAACATCTCTGGGTCTGAGTTCAGGGCTCATCCAGGGGGACAAGCAGAGAGGGCCAATGTCTTATGGTCTTCTTTTTATTCACTGTACACATCTCTGCTATTTGTTACACTTAACAGCAATGCCCAGGAAAGTCCAAAATAAGAAACACTGTAATTAGTTCTTGGGCACTATCTTCTAATTTGGGGGATAAGAAATCAAATAGAATGATAAAGTTTATTATCTCTGCAGAATTGGATTAATAAAAGTATAGTTTAGACTATGTAGTTCTTATTCTCCTGAAATTCTAACTTATTATCACACACAAAAAAATAAGAAATAAAGCAAATACTTTTCTCATTGGAACCTTCCACCAAAGTCAAATTAAGCATCAGAGAATTTGATAGGGTTGAACATTCCTGCTCCCATTTTCACTCCTGTTGAGCTATTTTCTTCCCACATTTCCACTTCTAAGATCAGATCTTTCTAATTGCCTTCCTGAGCCATCAAGAGCACAAGGCAGATAGAAATCACTTTTGCACTTGCACTACAGGGGTCGAAACGGTCAACCACAAAATCAGCAACTAGGATTTTCCTTCCTAGGATTATTTTCTTAGGAAGGCATTCCAGTTGTGTACATACCCCTGGACCTCTTTCTCCAGCTTCTCCTTTTTGAGCATCGCCCTGTGACAAACAAAAAACAGTCAAAATTCCACAGCCCTGCAGAGTGACTGTTTGCTCAATAAAATGTATTATACAGAAGTCCCAGATTAATAGCTTAACCCAATTAGGAAACATCTTCAGCCTTGCCCATTGACATTTTCACCATGCAATCTAGGCAAAAAAACTAGCAACTCAGATAAACTTTGCCCTTTGGAGTGAAGCCAGATGTGTAGGGTGCAGGACCCAGGTACATTTTCACAGCTTATGCCACATCCTGGTTGAACAACACAGCTGTTGTTCTCAAATACAGCATTACATTCACTTGGAGCCAGTCACTCTACCTTTTCTCTAAGGGGCTTTGGAATGTTTTCCAAAATGTCCTCAAGAGTGATTGCTTGATTTCAGTAAGACTTAAGAAAATATATTATGTAGCACAAAATTATAAACCAAATAAATAAAATGTGAACATACACTTATAACAGGTATTTAACCCAACAAAAAGAAGGCATGGTGGTATCAGTTTGGACATATATAAGATGAGTGAGTGTAGGGTTGTTTGGGTATGCGTGTGTGTATATATTGTAAAACTATCCAAGGATGCTATATTCCCTTTCCCTGACAAGCAGACAAATGCCAAAAATACTGTTATGCATTTCACTTAATGATTTTTTTCACTACCTCCCTAAAAATTTTCTAAGAAATAGAGCTATTTTAAAGTTAATTTTTGAGTTGACTTTTAACTTAATAGTTAACTTTGTCAGTATTTGAGTGCCTGTTATGTTTTGCCTAATTGCTCCCAAAATATTTGTGTCAAGTTCCCTGCAATGAAAAGCAAACCAGTTTCACTGCCACATTGCTATCTCTAGTTATTATTGTTTTAATATTGCTGTGTTAATTGCTATAATGAAAGAAATATTTTAAAACTTCAAAACACACACAAAAACAAACAATCTGAACTAGAAAACTACCAAAAAAAAAAAGAAAAGAAAAGAAATCCTCTGGATTCCAAAGTTCCTAAAATGTAAGCATTACTACTAAAGTATACCTCATTCACTCTATTTAAATTTCTTTTATTACCTAATGAAATTAAATTTGCTTTTACTTTTTTCTTTACTAGTTTTGTTTCCTCTCTTGAAAATTGTGTTCAGAAATTAACTCATGACTATAAAAATTAACCCAATGTCCACTATATATGATGCAAATATTCCCTGATATTTCTATTTCTTTAATATCCTCTCCCCATATTAGTCTGTTCTCATGCTGCTAATAAAGACACACCTTGGTAGTTTATAAAGGAAAGATGTTTAGTAGACTCACAGTTTCACAGTGCTGGGGAGGCCTCACAATCATGGCATAAGGTAAAGGAGGAACAAAGCCACATCTTACATGGTAACAGGCAAGAAAGCTTGTGTAGGGAAACTTCCCCTTATAAAACCTTCAGATCACATGAGACTTGCTCCCACCACAATAACAGCATGGGAAAGACCCGTCCCCATGATTCAATTACCTCCCACCGGTCTCTCCCACCACATGTGGGAATTATGGGAGCTACATACAATTTAAGATGAGATTTGGGTAGGGTCACAACCAAAGCATATCACTCCCTTTAATTGTTATTTTTTCATTATGCAGAATTTTGACTTAAATTTTCACATAGTTATATCTGCTTTTCTCTTTGTGATTCCTGCTGTTGTTCTTGAACTGGGAACCAAAATCCTACCAATGATCTGAACAGGTGAATATTTTCTTTAAAAGCCTAAGATTTTTTTTTTTTATAGGTACACAGAGAAAAGGAATTGATGAAGTCCTTGAAGATGCTCTGGGAGTAAGTAAACAGCTGGTGGTTTTTCTATTATTATTGTCAGTCAGTTATTCACTAAAAGTAGACCCATTAAAAACACAAGTGCCAATGTCAATCTGATATGGCACATATATTATAAGTTCATTAAACACTGTCCTAAATAAGATGGGCTGCTATCATTTAAGTACTAGTTTCTGTTTATTCATTGTCCCTAGGTTTCCTAAATTTACTGACTAAAATATTCATATGTTACTCAGAATTTGTGAATTCAAGCTAATAGAAACAAGATAAGTAAAACAGGAAGTGGACATCCTGTATTCTTCACAAAAATTGTCAGATTTTTGCCATATACTACAATGCTTTTTATTTTAAAAATAGTTGTTTTTTAAAAATAAATCTAGAAGAAAATACGCTGGTTTAAAGAAAAACTGTTTATTCATTTACCGGGTTTCCTTTTGGTCCTCGCTCACCTTTGATACCTGGGTTTCCATGTGTACCCTGAAGGCAAAGGGAAAAAATATTATTTTAAGTAGGTAGTCTATTGTTTTCTATACTTTATAATGATTTCTGATGAGCTCTGTCTCCTAGAATGAGGGAAAATTGTCAAATCTTTACATGCCAAGCCAAGATTCAACTCTCTTCTCCCCTTTTCTACACAAGAAAACCACTGTCTTCAATTGGCAGATTTTCTAGATTTGCTAAAAAGAGAATAATGTTTCTCTCTTATCACCAATTCCTTCTTCCCAAAACAATTACTTCTTGGCAGTTTTGCAAACAAAATCAAACTCATGCAAAGATTTAAAAGAGTAGCTGCAACAGGCCAAAGGGTAGGAGTCGTTCCCAACCTCTCTTCATTGTGGGCCACTTCTACAATTCCCATCTGTAGCTCACTTTTTTTGTTGTTGTACTTTAGCTTCTGGGGTACATATGCAGATCATGCAAGACTGTTGCATAGGTACATTCATGGCAAGGTGGTTTGCTGCCTCCATCCCCCCCGTCACCTATACCTGACATTTCTCCCCATGTTATCCATCCCCAACCTCCCCACCCCCACTGTCCCTCCCCACCCCCAAATGGACTCCCGTGTGTGATGCTCCCCTTTCTGTGTCCACGTGTTCTCATTGTTCAACACCCACCTATGAGTGAGAACATGCAGTGCTTGATTTTCTGTTCTTGTGTCAGTTTGCTGAGAATGATGGTTTCCAGGTTCATTCATGTCCCTACAAAGGACAAAAACTCATCGTTTTTTATGGCTGCATAGTATTCCATAATGTATATATGCCACATTTTCCTTGTCCAGTCTATCACTGATGGGCATTTGGGTTGGTTCCAGGTCTTTGCTATTGTAAACAGTGCCACTATGAACATGTGTGTGCATGTGTCTTTATAATAGAACAATTTATAATCCTTTGGGTATATACCCAGTAATGGGATTGCTGGGTGTAATGGAATTTCTATTTCTAGATCCTTGAGGAATCTCCACACTGTCTTCCACAATGGTTGAACTAATTTACACTCCCACCAACAGTGTAAAAATGTTCCTATTTCTCCACATCCTCTCCAGCATCTGTTGTCTCCATATTTTTTAATGATTGCCATTCTAACTGGTGTGAGGTAGTATCTCAATGTGGTTTCGATTTGCAGCCAGGCCAGCTTCCTTGCCTTTGGTCAAAGAGGTTCTGATATCCAGGTGACAATCTTGAAAGATGGGAGAAAGAAGCTCTGTAATCCTCTTCCAGAAAAGCATTTTGTTTTCCTGTTCCTAATCAACCAAAAATCTTGCTTTTCTGAGAACTGGTGTTGGGGGTACTCAATAAATGTTAAATAACATATTCTGTGGCTTATCCCTACTAAAATGTGACAAGAATGTGACTAAAATTCTCAGGTGCTTGACAATTGTGAACTTCCTTACTGTTCATTTTAAAATATACAGAAATATAACTTCATATGGAACCAAAAGAGAGCCCGCATAGCCAAGTCAATTCTAAGCAAAAAGAACACAGCGGGGGGCATCACACTACCAGATTTCAAACTATACGACAAGGCTACAGTAATCAAAACAGCATGGTACTGGTACCAAAACAGAGATATAGACCAATGGAACAAAACAGAGCACCGGAGGCAACACAACATACATACAACTATACAATCTTTGATAAACCTGACAAAAACAAGCAATGGGGAAAGGATTCCATGTTTAACAAATGGTGTTGGGAAAACTGGCTAGCCATATGCAGAAAGCAGAAACTGGACCCCTTCCTGACACCTTACACTAAAATTAACTCCAGATGGATTAAAGACTTAAACATAAGACCTGGCACCATAAAAACCCTAGAAGGAAATCTAGGCAAAACTATCCAGGACATAGGAGTAGGCAAGGACTTTATGAACAAAACACCAAAAGCATTGGCAACAAAAGCCAAAATAGACAAATGGGACCTAATGAAACTCCACAGCTTCTGCACGGCAAAAGAAACAGTCACTAGAGTGGATCGGCAACCAACAGAATGGGAAAAAATTTTCGCAGTCTACCCATCTGACAAAGGGCTGATATCCAGAATTTACAAAGAACTCAAACAGATTTACAGGAAAAAAACAAACAAGCCCATTCAAAAGTGGGCAAAGGATATGAACAGACACTTTACGAAAGAAGACATATATGAGGCCAACAATCATATGAAAAAATGCTCATCGTCACTGGTCATCAGAGAGATGCAAATCAAAACCACATTGAGATACCATCTCACGCCAGTTAGAATGGCCATCATTAAAAAATCTGGAGACAACAGATGCTGGAGAGGATGTGGAGAAAAAGGAACACTTCTACACTGTTGGTGGGAGTGTAAATTAGTTCAACCATTGTGGAAGACAGTGTGGCGATTCCTCAAGGCCTTAGAAATAGAAATTCCATTTGACCCAGCAATCCCATTACTGGGTATATATCCAAAAGACTATAAATCGTTCTACTATAAGGACACATGTACACGAATGTTCATTGCAGCACTGTTTACAATAGCAAAGACCTGGAATCAACCCAAATGCCCATTGATAATAGACTGGATTGGAAAAATGTGGCACATATACACCATGGAATATTATGCAGCAATCAGAAATGATGAGTTTGTATCATTTGTAGGGACATGGATGAATCTGGAGAACATCATCCTCAGCAAACTGACACAAAAACAGAAAATGAAACACTGCATATTCTCACTCATAGGTGGGTGATGAAAAATGAGAACACATGAACACAGAAAGGGGAGTACTAAACACTGGGGTCTATTGGGGGGAAAAGGGGAGGGCCAGTGGGAGGGGGAGGTGGGGAGGGATAGCCTGGGGAGAAATGCCAAATGTGGGTGAAGGGGAGAAGAAAAGCAAAGCACACTGCCATGTGTGTACCTACACAACTGTCTTGCATGCTATGCTCGTGTACCCCAAAACCTAAAATCCAATAAAAAATTTAAAAAAAATAAATAAATAAAATATACAGAAATATTCCTTACCCTGGCCATCTCTTGGTGTAATGGGGATAAACTAAGACTTTATAGGAAGGGATGGTTAAATCTTTGCTTTAGCCAAAGTCGGCCTCTACTGGCTGCCCCATTATTATATAATGCATCTAACTTGGTATTTGGGGAGAAAAAGATCCCTTGATTGGTTAGATGGTTTGAAAAAATGTAGGCTTTGGACCCGAGTCTCAAGGTAAAATTTGTCATATTCTAATACAGTCACAGTATACATTCCCCTCCCACTCCCAAATACAAGCATTAGTTGAAAATTTTTACCCATGCATTTTGTTAGAATCTCCATAGGGCTTCTTCTGAACTCTAAGCATGATATTTGGAATTACACAAATAAATAGAAGACTGAACGAACACATGAATGCTTTATGAAGATAAATGTTAAAGAAATGCTCAGCATTTCCAGTGATCTAGATGTCATTTCAAATGCTTTCCCAGCATAGAAATGGCACCTACCAGATATTAGGCCAGAATATAAGGAAAGCACTCCATCCTATATTATCTTATCAAATAATGAATCATCATAGTAAATCCTGCCATTTATTTTTGGCTGCCATGTGTTTACTTCCATTTCACAGAATTCACCATAATCCCCCAAAGAGTCCTGACCAGCTTCCTGTCCACGTTGGTGTTGCTGCTGCACTGCTGCATTTGTGTGAAGACAACATTTAACTTCCAGAGAGGCTTGTGCCTCGTGTTTCTAGTAGGATATAGCTTTGCCTAAAGCACTGATTATTTGTATTAGCTTCTTCTGTATTTTCACTTCACTATTAAGAAATTCTGGCTTCAATTATTTTATGAGGAGGGACACAATGTCCTTTGTGGGAACAACTGCAAAACATGCCTGCCCTCAGTTCAGGTCAGCAATATCCCAGGCTTATTTCTAAGGATAGAATGAGTCCCTTTAGAAATAAAAGAAAGAAGTAGTATTTCCATTTTTGCTGCCATTTCCAAACAATTGCTTTTCAACAGTTCAAAATAGCCCTGATGTTTTCAAGAGCGAGTAGAGCTATCTCATTGCTAGGACTTCCTGACTTGTATTTAAAGTAGAAATATACTCACAGGATTCCCTGGATCACCTGGATCTCCTTTCTCGCATTCACAAATCTTGCGTTCACACTGAATCAATAATGAAACATGATATTAACACACAGTGAAATACAGCACTTCAAATTGTATTTAGCATATAACCAACCAGAACACTCTCAAAGAAATTTTACCATGAACATTTGTGGAGGTTTTGCTCTCTCTATTAAATTATTCTAGGCAAATTTATACCTTTCAATAGCCAGATAACAAAATATTCTTAAATTTCAGCATGGTTAAATAAAATAGGCATCCCATCAATAATACATATATAATATATAGATGCCAGTTAAAAGGAGAAAATACATATTTTCAGTGGACTTTCAGAATTTCTGCTGCTTCTCTTCCATATAATACATCCAAGCTCAATAACATAATAATACTAAATGTTCCTTTACTAAGCAAAGGAAAATGTTTGACTTATACCATATTTTACTATTTCTAAGATGCACATTCTTCCTCATTTTAACAACTCTGAAATCAGAATGAGTCTTATAACAGCTATTGACCAGAATCAGTCATGACAAAGTAGTTGCTTTCTACACATGCACTTCAAAACTTGCAGTATGAAATGGAAGAAAATTCCAGAATATTCTTAAGAAATGCTTTATATCAATGCTTTTGCTGACAAATGGTCAGTATTATGTGGAAAAACAAGGATATCAATAATTCAGACAAAAATTGATTCAGAGATTTATCAGGGATATCCAATATTTTGGCTTCCCTGGGCCACATTGAAAGAAGAAGAAATGCCTTGGACTGCGCATAAAATACACTAACACTAACGAAAGCTGATGAAAAAAAAAAAGTCCATGCATACATTTTACAGCATTTTTTAAAAGTTTATGAATTTGTGTTGGTCTGTACTCAAAGTCGTTCTGGGCTGCATACAGCCTGCTGGCCACAAGTTGGACAAATTTAATTTAAACTCTGATGTGAAGAAGTTTTAGAAATAACCAAGTTACCCGCCGGGCATGGTGGCTCACGCCTGTAATCCAAGCACTTCAGAGGCCAAGTTAAATTGGCAAGGTTTTTTTTCTTTCTTAATGGTACATAACATAATGGTATCTCTGAACATGTACAATTCAATATAACATGGTGCTCTAGAAGGTTTGGGTGACTCCTATTATTTTATGCAACAATACTTGTAAATTTCCTGATGTTAAATAAGCAGTTCACTGAACAAAGTTTAGATATTCCAAACTCTTTGCTTTAAGAAATGCATGTCCAGGATGGTATTCCTCAGGAAGCTGATGATCATCTATTGGGCTAAGGCCCATTTAACCATATTGGCCAGATTCCTTTGCCATGTGATCTGGTTGCCATCATTAGGTTGCCTTTTCTTCAAAATAAGGAGAATGAGCTCAAGGCAATTGGCAGGCAGCAGGGGATGACTCTAAACTCTGCCTCTTAGCTGGGAACACTCTGCCTAACCTAGCCAACACAAGGAACACCCCCCAAAATAAAGGACACCCATGAGTAGCTGATGTCAGAGATATGCTTAGAATAAAGAAGGCATATCAAAGTAAGCAAAAACATGTGGTTTTCTTATCACTGATTTCTAAAATCACTCCTGGAGTCACATTCAGTATTTCCTACTTTTTCTAAATTTTCCAACCTGCATTGAATATGGTAGTATAAAAGAAATCAGATGGCTGCCTCAGAATAGAGTGGCTCATTTTAAAAGAACTATGAATTTTTATTTAGTCACACTTAATTTTCTAATGTGAATTATAATGCTGATTTGATAAGGCAAGATTTTAGGGTAATTCATAGTAATCAAAGCATGAGGTACTTACCTTCTTTTCAAATAAGGTTTCCTACAAGGGAAAAAAGAATGAAGCATTAACTTAATTCATGGTTCTGCTTCCAGCTATTTATTAGTCTTAATTATTCCCTATGGAATATGAAGTTTTCAGAAAGAATAGCAATTCAGCTTTTTAACCTCGTAAAAGCAATAAAGCCAACCAGCCAACCAGCCAAGAAACAGTCTGAGCCATGTAATAATAAGAGATATGACTACAATTAAAAATTAATCTATATTTTCTAGGAACTTTATCTTACTGCATTCTGTTTTATCTTTTGTTTCCTTTATTAGCTCTATAATCTCCATAATTTGACTATAAATGTAATCAGTCCTAATGAGAAAGCTCTCACTGTTACACACAAAGACTGAGAAGGCAGAATATATAATTGTATATTTTCTGTTTTTTCCAGCCCTATGCACATATACATGCATCTATTTTTCAGGACTTATTTTTCAAGATTAAAACAATATAGAGTCATAACTTCATGAAACATTAATGGGCCTTAGAATAATCATATTAAAACTCAAAGAGAGAAAGTTAGAAAGTCCAGTGAGATTTTTTTAGATAATCTGCATTACAAAAAACAAAAATTTCCTTACTATGTTCACTAGGGGAAGGGTTTTCTATTTCAAATTTGAAAAGCCTCTAATATGATACTTTATAGAATTTCCACATAAAGAAAAAAAGATACTCAGCTTTTAAATTAAAACAGTATTAGGAATAATATTTTGGTAAAAAATTTCAACAGTTTATAGCAATATGCATCACTTATGTAAAAAAGGACCTATATTTATAACTGGTTACCTTAGGAAAAAAATTAAGTGATAGAAAAATAATAAATATTTATAATGAAAGTATCATTATAAAAAAAAAAACAACAAATTTAATTAGTCTTAGAAGTCAGACTCAACCTCTTCCTTTGCAATAAGGAAACATGGTTCCACCATGACATGACTCAACCAAGGTAACAAACTTGGGCTGCGCCTCCTGACAGTCTTCATGCATGTCATACGTATCATACAGAAATAAATTAGCCAGAATATTTTTCAAAACTATTTTAAATTCATAATTTTACAGAAATATTATTATCTTTTTTTTGTCCAACACCTAGGCCTCACTGCCATACTTTAGTTCAGTGGGATATTACATGAAAAGTGCACTGAAGGCCATGTTGGAAGTCAAACACTGGAAAGAAATTAACCTATTAACCTATGTTTACATATAGAATTAGTGCTTTCTTAACCTAGAAATTATGTGTCAAACCAGGGCCTTATGATTTCATCTGAAGGAGTAATTTATATACATAAAATAGGAAGATGAAGGAACAAGCATTGGAATATTTATTATAAGACATTAAAAATGCAGAAGCTAACAAGGAAGTTAAAGATAAATAAGAGTATGTACCTTTACGAAGGACGCTGCATCCCTTTAGTTTTATTTTTACTTTATTTCCATACAAACTAATACTATAGAGGGAAGAGATAACAAAATGCTTTAAGTGGCTCTAATGATTTAATAGGGAAAAAATTGGGCTGGGAATTAAGTGTCATCCTGGATTTCCATCCCGTTTCAACCATTAACTAGCTATGTGGCCTTAACAAGTCATACAGTTCTTCCAGGTAATTTTCTTCGTATATAAAAAAGGGTGAAGTTTGACTACATAATCTCAGGAACTATAAAACTCTAGCCACAGACACTACCTACAAAATTTAGATTCTCACCTCCCACCCTTCCCAACCAAATAATTTTAAATTACTAGCCATGTAAATCCAGGCTGAAAGCAGATGAGATACTTTTATCTTTAAGAGCTAGAAGGTCCTATGGAGAAATGGGAACTCAGATACACTGACAGTTTTAGTTAAAATGGTATTAACCTCTGTAGTACATTTGGCTATGCCTACAAAGCTGAAGACGGGCATGCTCTATCTCTAGGCTGCCAGGACAATTCTTGCTTTTGCCTATTATTCTAACATTCTTTCCAGACATACCACAGGGAAATTCTTGCACTTGCACATTTCAGCATTCACTGCTTTTTGTAATGAAAAACTGGAAATAAAATAATTCCAAAGCAGAATGGATCAATAAATGAAATACTATTCAGCAGTTAAAGTAAATGCATTGGATCTACACATTTCAACAAAATGTCCAAAAAAACATTCAATGCAAAAGCAAGTTGTAGATAGATACATACAAAATGATCTGATTTATTAAAATACGTAAAATATTTTAAACCGCATCGGAGAGTGGATTCCTCTGGGAGAAAGAGAGAGAAAAGAAATTCAAAAGAAGTTTAACAGAGGCAGTAAAACAACTAATAATTCAAGTCAAATTGTAATATTTAAAAAACCACTACTGAAATAAAGAAAAATTTAAATTTTTGTCACTTTACAATCTTTTTACAATGAGCAGTATCTTTTTTTTTCTCAGACAGAGTCGCACTCTGTCACCCAGGCTGGAGTGCAGTGGCATGATCTTGACTCACTGCAACCTCCACCTCCTAGGTTCAAGCGAGTCTTGTGCCTCAGCCTTCAGAGTAGCTGGGATTACAGGTGCACACCAACATGCCAGGCTAGTTTTTGTATTTTTAGCGGAGATGGGGTTTCACCATGTCAGCCAGGGTGTTCTCAAACTCCTGACCTCAAGTGATCCACTCACCTCACCCTCCCAAAGTGCTGGGATTACAGGCGTGAGCCACCGAACCCAGACACAATAAGCAATATATTAATCAGTTTTTAAATTTATGAATTCAGCTCTTACTGTGCCTGATGTGTAATTTTACACTTTTTTTTTCAGTTCTTTCTTTGAAATTCTGCTTTGGCATATTGCTCTTTAGAAATATGTGGCATAAGGCTTAAAACCATAGCAATGCAAAAAACTATTTTGAAACTCATTTAATTTTGTGTTTGCTGGAATTTATATTTCTATGGAAACAAAAATGAACCCAAAACTACACAATAAATAAGACTGTTTCAAACAAAGAACAAAGCCCCATCCCTGAGGGCACTTATAGGCTATAAGCCCCAGGAACAGAGGACAATACACAGCAACCCGAGTAGGAAGGAGATCCTAGACCAGGGGTGGAGGAGCCAGATAGCTTCTTGGAATAGGTGGGTTTTCTGGATGGTTTTGAAGAGAGGAATGCAAAGGACCACCCATTGATTGTATGCTGTCCTATATGTCAAAGTTTATGGGGAAGAAAGTCATAAGGACTAGTGTGGGCTATAAGACAAAGGAAGCAGTTAGGAGGGACATTTCAAGAAAGTGGACCGAAGAACCCATATGGAGAGAGCTGGAGGTCTTGGGAGGTGGCAAGGGCTAGCACTCAGGCCAGGAAGCGGGCTGCAAGGAAAACAGTGTCAAAGCCTGAGGGGAGGGCATGTTCAATAATGGACTTGGGGGATGCTTGAGTTTCAATGAAAATGATAAATAGGGAAAGGCTTTCATGAGAACAAAAGAAGACGCAGTCAGAATTTCATTAAGGATTCATATATATGACATATATTCACATGTATCATATATGTGAAACCTGATGGAACTGCCTGTTTTTCAAGGAGTGTAAGGGCTATGCTACAAGAAGGGGCAGAAAAAAACATGAGGAATGAACAAAGTATCATAGCAAGTGAAATGACAGTAAAGCAGTTAGTAAACAAGAGAACAAACCCTGTGGCAAAAAAAATTCAACTTACAATGGTAGCAAAACAGCCACTATAAAATCTAAAACAGAAAACAAAAACAAGGCCCTAAACAAAGGAAGCCCTGAAAAAATGGAAAGTGATCATGCTTAATAGATTAATAAAGCATAGGATTCTAAAGATGATATAGACATCATCATATCAATCTCTTCTTGGCATGCAAGGGGAATACCTTAAATTCATGTTTTTTTTTAAAGACAAAGTTGTCACAACCCTTATTTCCATAAAGACTTTAAATACTTCACATCAAAGGCAATAGAGGGAAAAAAATTATTTTTAATTTTCACATATCCTCTCTTACTCTTCTAAAGGACCAAGTAATATATCCAGAACTTTGGGTTGAATTTATTTCTTTAGTTTCAATACTATTATGTAAATCATAATAAAATCACAATAAAAATATATCTCCTTCAATTTGAAATCATTATGTCTCTTTTGGGTAATTCAGAACTAAAATGTTTTTATGAGGTTCTTACGTGATAATTCCTACTAGAGTCATCAAGGAATTTTTAACGATGTGATTTGTTTTGGCTCCTGAAGAATCTATTCATTCTGTACACTCATGTCCATTAAATTCAACTAAAGTCTATTTATTCTACAGTAAAAGGGAATAAACCTGTGATACAGAAAACAACCCAATGAGTTTGAAAATCATTATACTGGGTACAAGAAGCTTGACACAAAAATTATACGTACTATTTGAGTTTGTATAAAATTCTAGAAAGCATCCGGTAGAGTCACAAAAGTCAGATCAGTAGCTCAGGAGCAACCAAGGTCTTAGAAACAGACATGAGGCAATTTGGGGAGGTGACAGAAATGTTCTGCAACCTAATTGTGTTGGTGGTTTCATAGGTGCATACCTATGTCAAAAGCTCATGGAATTGTGCACTTTAAGTTGATGCGGTTGTATACTTAAATCATACTAAATAACTTACTTTAAACATTAACTACATAATTATTTCAAAATAAAAAGTTTAAAAAGTCAACTAAAGATATAATAGAAAGGGATTAAAGAATTTTTCCAATGGTCTCATCAAGAGTCAAGTTCTGGGTCAGGTGCGGTGGCTCACATCTGTAATCCCAGAACTTTGGAAGGCTGAGGCAGGCAGATCATCTGTGGTCAGGAGTTCAAGACCAGTCTGGCCAATATGGTGAAACCCCGTCTCTACTAAAAAATATGAAAAAATTTGGCTCGCTTATGGGCGCAGTGGCTCACGCCTATAATCCCAGCACTTAGGGAGGCCGAGGAGGTTGGATCATGAGGTAAAGAGATTGAGACCATCCTGGTCAACAAGGTGAAACCCCGTCTCTACTAAAAATACAAAAATTAGCTGGGCATGGTGGTGCATGTCTGTAGTCCCACCTACTCAGGAGGCTGAGGCAGGAGAATTGCTTGAACCCAGGAGGCGGAGGTTACGGTGAGCCGAGATCGTGCCATTGCACTCCAGTGTGGGTAACAACAGTGAAACTCCATCTCAAAAAAAAAAAAAAAGAACAGTCAAGTTCTGCCTTCTATATAGTGGCAATTTGAAACATTGTAAGTTGGTATACCATTCTTTGAAGAGCCTAATAAGCACTTTGGATCCTGAAAGTGTTTGGAAAGCAGCACCTCCTTCTAAGAAGCAATTTATTCATGGAGCTTCCATCTGAACAAACAAGCTGAAATCACTAACAGATGCTAAACAAACAAGCTGAAGTCACCGGATGCTAAAGAAGAGCAGTATTATTTGGTCATTTTCTGGTTCCCCAGGAACAGACAAACAGTTGTGCTTCCAGTCTATTGTCAAGAGCCTGTGTTCTCAGTGAAGCAGGTGCTCTCAGTGAGGGTGTATCTGGTGGCAGTGTGAAAAATCTGAGCCTACACGTTGCCAAAAAGGAGCTGCCTGTCCTGCATCTTCTATGGTCAGCTCTTATCCATCTTAAGGGTAAAGATGAATAGATAACAACAGCCCACTCAGGATCACATCCCCAGGAATCTCTCCTGCACCTGCTGGAGCCCTGTGTTTTACATTCATTCAGTGATGAGGACCCCTTATGTCATGGCATAGGCAGGGCTAAGTGTCAGCCAGAAACCACTACAAATTTCCCTTTCATGCAAAAGAGCTGCTCAGAATGAGCACTTGCCTCGATCACGGCAGGGCTGGGCCCATCAGCTCCATCTCTTATCTAGGCAGAAATCTCCCATTTACCCTGAATCCCCATGGAGAAAAGGCTAGAAACAATAGTAACTTTGGAGGAGGGCTGCTACTAAACTGTTTCAGAGCAGCACTGATTGAGAAAATCTTTTTTAAAAAAGTAGTTACTATTTCCCTTCTCAGTATGCCTTTACAGGGTTAAGCATGCAAACTGTGAGGTCTTCACTGGCCTTAAATTTTCAACTTCAAATGGATATAATAACAGTACCTACATCATAAGATGGTGGCAAACACTGAATAAAATACAATAAATAAAGTGCTCAGGAAAATGCCTAATAAAGAGAGAGTACTCAATACATAAGAACTATTATTTAGGTAAGAAAACCTCAGGTCTTATGCTGAAAACAACAGAGAATAAAAAGAGTAATGTTGAGAAAAGGATCCAGGGATAGGACAAAAGGAGCAAAACAATTTCTGAAATAGAGCCTGAGTTTTCTGAGCTATAGAAAACAGCCATACGAAATGTTCAGTACATAAAGGACAGGTTTGCCTTCCTTTCTCAGGAAATCAAAGAAATCCAAGTTTTTAAAGAAAAATGATTTTTAACACTTAGGCAATCAACCAATTTATCTCTAGGAGTTTTCTCCTTGAGAAATATGGTGAAGAGGGATTTCCTTTTGATTGCTGTGCCGTGTGTTTTACAAGGCAGCAAGGAAAGGCTTTTACACACAGCTGAGCAACAAATAAAGAAAAGCTAATAAGATCAATCAAGTGGTACTCATTGATCTGATGGGAGAAACTGTTGCTTGACTGCAGGTTGCAGATGATTTTAAATTGGATGGGCTTGTTAACATCTAAGAAACAAGGCAGTAATTTTAAAAATTGGAAGTTTTCAAAATTTTAAAAGTAGCATAATGTAACAATAGGTGAGACAATGTCAAAAATATTCAGTCTTTTAGAAGAGTAAGAGAGAGTATGTGAAAATTATGTCAAAAATACCCGTGCAGATAGGAAATGGGAAAAGACCAACTTAGAACAAATACAGCCTAAGACCACAACCTGAATATAAGTCAGCAATGTTCATAACTGTAGGATGTACAAACGGGGAGCCTGGGGTATACAACTGGAAAGTAACACTTCCAAAATCCTCAGTATCAGCTAACAATAAAGTTAAGAATGCAATTCCAGGGAATTTGCCTGGAACTCTTCCAGTTTATCTAAAGTAAACTGCCAAGAAAGTAGAGTGATGCTTCCAAAAGATTCTTCTTTCTGCTTTCAAGATGAATTCTCATTTTCCCCATCTTTTTGATCCAATATCTCTCCTTATGGAATTTACAACAAATACAGCAATACTATGATGATAACTGTATAACCAACCCATTAGGTACCTACCAGGTGGTCTTGAATTTTATCCACTAGGGTTGGATCACTCAGCAGTAAAATAGGTTCATTGGATGAATCCCCAGAGATCAAACGAAGTTTGGCTTCATTGACTACAGTAGAAAGTCCAATAGTGATAAATGATATTCCTGAAATTCTCGCATCATCAGAAATACTTTGAACATCTGGATTCTTTGGATGGTCGATGCCATCAGTCATCAGCAAAGCCACTTTCACACTACCCTTTCGCCCTTCTCTTTTAAGTAGCTTAGTGGCATTGGAGATGGCATAATAAGAGAAAGTACCTTGCCCAATTAAATTCATAGACTTGACCTTCTGCTTAAATGTCTGCAGGTCCTTCCAAGAAGAAAAAGGTGGATCAATTTGGACAGAGCTGCTAAACTGAAGGGCTGCCAGTTTTATGTCATATTCCACAGAGCGACGAGGAGTCAATCGGAAAATCTTGTCACTCAAGCCATCCACAAAATCTTTCTGTTTATCAAAGAGGACAATTTTAGAACTTTCAGAGCTGTCCACGATGAAGACAATATCTATGAAACAAATGGAGTCTGAAACAGAACAAACAGGTTAGGCAAAATAATTATTCCTATCATGAAACAAATTTGCATAAGGAAAGCCCTGAAGTGGTGTGTTGTATATTGTTTCATTTTGAGAGCAGAATGAGGAGAGTAAGAGAGACACATTGGATAAAAGCCTTAAATTGTAAAAAAATAGTGTCAAAGTTTATAAATTATTTTCCCCTTATAAAATCATGCAAATTAAAAATAAATAAACTATCATATATTCTGAGCATCTTCTCAATGTTACACCTGCTGAAAGTGGGAGGAAATGGGAAGTCAAGATACATCACATTTTAAAAATCCAACTAACACTGAGCATCGCTGTCTGGAAGTAAATGATACTCTTGTTCTCAAGTTGTGTCATATTGGTGAGTCCCTATTCTTTTTTTCACTTTCTTAAAATCAAGGGAGAAAATGATTATATGCATTGTAATAAGAGTAAGCGGGGAAGAAACCTAACTTAAACCCAACTTAAAACCAACCCTAACTTAAATTCAACTTAAGCTTGAATCACAGCTCTGTATCTTACTCATTAATTTGCCTATGGCCTTGAGTATGCCACTCAACCTTTTAAGACCTCGATTTCTTTATCTATCCTATGAGTGGCAATCTCTGTCCTGCCTATTTTACAAGGTTACTGTGAGGCTCAAATGAGATAAAAGAGCACAAGTGCTCTTACTAAAAACTCTGATGTGCTATATTAGGTATATTATCATATAATTTTATAAAAGTAGACTATCACATGTATACATGTATGTGGCTTGCTATAAATATCAAATGCTATTTAGAAAAATTCACATAAGTATTTTCAACAGGCTAAACTTAAAAACAAACAAGGTTTTTTTTTTTTTTTTACCCTGGACATCACTTTTCCTTGCAAGCAAATTTGGCTTTGGTCCTTTCTTTCTTTGTCCAGATACTGTTTGACTAGTAAACGCTGACAAAAGCAGGAGATAGAAGACAAAATATCTGTTCCACATTACGGTAGAAGGTGAAAAATCATCTGCCTTGCAGCACCTATAATAGAAAAGTCAGTTATAAATACTTTAATTAAATATGGTATTTGTTATTTTTAAATTTCAAGCCAACAGAGTTGAAAACTGGCATGTGACTGGAAAAAGATGTTTTCATTCATATTTCTAGAAAAATATTCACATTGAGATTTTAAAAGATTTCAATCCAAGTAAATCATAGTACCATGATCAAATATTTATAGTGAATATTTCTATATATTCAAAGAACTATATTCAAGTATTCTTAATTCCTCATTATATTATAAGGTGCATAGAGTGGAGAGAGCCATTTAAAAACATTCAATCGACTATATATGATTACTGTGGTTCAATCACAGGGTCTGCTTTGACATTTCCAGATTCTTCAGGGCGAATTCAAATTGCTATATGGTCATTCCATTCACTTTCATTATAACTGATTCCTGACAAATATAGTATTTTGCAGAATTTATCCTTTCAGAGTTAATACTATACCACCCTTTCAGAGTTAATACTATACATATGACTTCAATGAGTTCAGAGGTCAAAATAAAAATTAAATTGCCCTTCTGTTTTCATAGAATCCCATTTCTTTTTTCTACCCTAGCTTTGGAAACTGTCTCCACCAGGGGTTCAAAGCTGCATATCTGATATGAGAGTAAAAATAACAGATTTGCTTAAAAGCAACACTTTTCTTTCAGTGATGGCTAAAAGCAGTAATGGACAGAAACAGGACTTGAAGTCAAGCAGCACCCCCTCTAGCCCTGTGAAATTATTTTTCTGTGTAGATTGACAATGAAAAATCTAATTCTGTATTAAAATCCTCAATCTTCATCATTCAGTATACCTAGCTACATACCAAATGGCTTTTAAACTCATAGATTTCCCTGGCAGGAGAAGACTCACATGTTGCTGCCTCAGTATACCCAAGAGAATGGGAACGAGAGAGCTTATTTCAAATCAATATTTAGCATGGCTTGAAAATGCTTGCCTGCTGAAAATTTACTGACTTCAGGAATTCTGGAAAAGGAATCACATTTTCCTTCTTTGGCACCTTTCCTTTAGGGGATAAGAATCTGGGAAATCATGAGCACGATTTTTCCAGAATCTGAATAGAGGGTGGAAATATATGCAAAGGCAGCGAGGAGTGAGATGGAAGACTGAGTTTTTTCATACATGCCAGACGGATAAATCCCAAAGGAAAACAAAGCTGTTAGGTTAGGAGAGGACCAATGGATGGCTTCATGCCATAGTCTGCTCCTCACATAGCATCATCCAGCTGGAAGTTTATTAAAAGAACTTTGGATAGGTATGACCAAACATCTCGGGTTGCAATTTGCCAAATGACAACTGATGTTCAGACAAGGTATACTAAGATGTAAAGACAGCTGGGTATTTAAAAAATAAAACAAAACAAAACAAAGAAGTGTGCTAAGAAAACAGAACATACAAAGGCCATCTCTCCTCAAGTTATCCCTTTGCTAACCAAGGAAAAGAATAAATGACTTACAATTTTAAGTCTGAAAGTAACCATAAGGCTATGTGAAAAACACAGCTATTATTGCATTTTCAGAGGGGTAAGGAATATCACGGTGGCCATGGTATTACATATGACTTTTCTCTTTGGTTGAGTTCATACCATAAGGGACATCGCAGAAGTTCTGAAAATAAGAGACTAAGAATTGAATTCCATTGAGAACCAAGCAAGATTTTATAAGCAATGTAATCAAGCAACTCTTCAAAACTCTTCATGTAAAGTTTTAGAAATACTGGCCCTAAATAAAGATTTATCTTTTCCCAAAACTAAGCACCTGCTCATACTGTTTTCTTGGCATATAATCATGAATTCATACCTGACCCCTGTATATATGATACAAACATAACTTTTCTATTGACAATAATCACAATGTCATATTTTAGTCTCATTTGCTCTGACATTTTTAATCTACCTCTCCCAAACCAAAGTCATAATTATTTCTTTCTGTTTCCCTATTGTAGCCAGAGGACATTTGCATACCTCTCTAGTTTTGTTTATTTAGTTTGTTAGTTCTACTGCTTTCCTGAAATATCTTTCTCCTCTATTAATTTGGCATCTTGAGAGTCCACTCATTTCTAATCACTTTTTAATCATGTTTTATTTTGTCTCTGTTTTTAATAATTCTTACCTTTCTCTCTTTCTGATGTCACATACAAGCAAAATATGTTTCAGAAGAAACGATGCCATTAGTTAAGTGAAAGAAATGTGAAACCCTGTGTTTACTATAGGTTAAACTTTATAAATGCAGAAACAATCATAATTTGTAATCAAATATCATATTTTTATTTTTTGGCCTAAAATTTATTTTGGGTAAATATCAAGATCAATAAATCCAAAATACTTTATTTTTTTGTGATTTTTCAAAAATAAAATGATCTTTCAGCAGAGTTTACCAACTTTAGTTACAATGTTTGCATCTCATTCATTTCTACACAAATATAAAATGATTGAATGAAGACTTTATTCAAATTGAGACTAGCCAAATTATAAAGTATTGTATAACTAATTCTGAGTTGTAAACACCTGCTCCAAATTAAGAAAAAGATGTCCTAAAATATATTAACATCAATGTAATACAATTTAGAAGACTGTAAATTAAAAATCAATTTCAAAATAACTTTAAATTTTAAATTTCTACATTTTAACCATGTTAATATTTCTCTAATAATGATTTGAAGAGCAGAGAATAAAAACTTTTGACAAGCTTTCTTCACCTAAAAAGTATGTAAATCATTTAGTCTTCCAGTTTCTTGATGGTCCTATCTGATTTCAAGTGACTAAAATAAAGCCATTATTTATGTCTTACCTTATAAAGTGTGTCAAACAGGACTAGTTGAGTAAATGCCAACAGCAAGGACTATGGTTGGGGGTGAAGTTAGTTATTTGATATTGTTCTGTTCTGTGGGAAATAAAAGTGTCTTTGCTTTAGGATGTTCTGCAATCTTTTAGTCATGTGTATTAGACTAAGTTAAAGCAAGAGTGGTCAGGCATTCGGCCAGGATGCAAGATCTGGGTGGGATCAGTAAGCAATTTAAAGGAACAGTGTCCTTTCAGAACAAGACTGTGTTTTCCAGACTACTGTAAGAACAACTTGAGAGAACTTTCTACCTTTTAGGTATTTGTTGATAGCCTGCCTTTGTTTCTCATGGTATATCCTTTTCTTTTTATTGCTACATTTCTTTGCCTGGGGGATATGCTCTAAGATACTGGTTCTGAACAGCTCTGTGAAGGAGTATAAATGACGCTAGACTCAGATTCAAAGCTGGTTTTTTAGGAGAGGTAACAGGTTGGTTGTTATTAAAGCTGGATGATGAGTACATAGATGTGCATTGTTCTAGTCTTTGTATTTCTGTGATTTTTGAAATATTTTATAATACAAGGTATACATAAAGTACAGGGAAAGAATGGTCTGAGTATAGTTATAGTTCTGCCCCTAACTCTTATGGGGGCTTCAGTTTACCATTATGAAATGAGGAAGTGGATTTAATTTTTATTAAGATTTGTTCAAACTGTAACATGAGAGGTTTATAGCAGTTAATATTTTGGTCTCTGACCAGGAAAGGAGGTTACTGTGGTTGTTCCACTCTCTTTTGCCATTTTCTACCTTGTGGTTACAGCCCATATTAAGTCAGTGTTTATCAGTGTAATATGTACTGTCAAAAAGCCCCTTGACCCCTAGACAACTAACAGGCAGGCTTCTTTCTGGACTTCCTCTCTGAAATAGAGAATAGCAAGCTCATCCAAGAAAGCCATATATATGTTCATATTACAATTGTTTAAAATAAGCTTTCGAAGGCATGTTAATGCATATAGATTTCCTTATTATAGCAATAATAGCCTCTAATTTATGGACACTTGCCAGGTGCTAGGCACTGTGCTGCATGCTTCACACACACTAGCTTATTTAGTCCTTCAAAAGCACAACCATCTGTACACAGTAAGTCCTCACTTAACATCTTCCATAGGTTCTTGGAAACTGTGACATAAAGTGAAACAATATATAATGAAGCCAATTTTCCCATGAGCTGATTGATATAAATAAGAGTGAAGTTCCTATGGCATACTTCTAGTCACAAAAACATTACTAAACTTCTAAATAAAGACTCAAAATGCTTCTAATATTAAACATTGAAATAAATCTAAGCTATACATACATTTATAAAAGATTGATAAAAACAAGATACCTATTTACCTACGTATGCCAGTTCAGGGTTACGGTTGAACAGATCCCATCCCAGCAGCTGAGGGTGCAAGGTGGGAACCAGCCCTGGAAAGGAGGCAATTCCATCACAGGGTATGTACACACATACCCACTCTCTCAGACAGGGACCATGTGAACACACCAATGCACCTAATGGGCAAAGCATTGGGATGTGGGAGGAGACCCAGAACCTGGAGAAAACTCACACAGATATGGGGAAAACATGTCAACTCCACGCAGACAGTGAGCCTGGCCCAGGAATTGATTTCTTTTTCTCATCAATGTTATAACAAAATGACATTGAACAAGACGTTATTCCAGGACCCCTTGTAAATTTTTCTGAGATAGAGGCACAGAAGGGTTCAGTAATTTGTCCACTGTCATACTAACACTAGAGAATGGCAAAATGAACTTTCAACTCGGGTTTCTAATGATCTGTGAGCCTCACTTAAAACAACTACTGCATCATTAAATATCCATCTGAATGCCTGTGTTTTCATTGTCTCATCACAATGCAGGTTTTGAGGAACGGAGGAAGTTTTGTGAGGCTTTGGTAACTGAAAGAAAAAACAGCGGCTATAATGTAGAAATAACAATGAAATTTCTTAGGAAACAACAACGTATTTACCTGATAGCCTGTGGATATTAGTCACACTTTTTACTTTTGTGGGATGAGAATCAAGAGACAAGGAAGTAGCATATTTTCAGAAGGTCAACTCTCTTTTAGCTGTTAACCTGAGGCAGGTTAACAACTTGCAGTATAATAATGCCACTAAGAAGCAAACTGGTGATTCCTGGATGGGGAAAATGAACTATAGCTCTTCTGCTTTGGAGCTGTTTTGATTAAAGTTGGTGGGAGCTTGAAGTCCAACTTACTCATCCATTCCCTTTCATTCTCCAACATTAAATAGGGTAACTAAAATCAAAGATTTTCCACCTCTCATTACCAAGTGTGAAAATCAGCACTATATTGATTGGGAAGACAATGCAAAATAAAATCTTCATTTTGTCAATCTATAAAAGGCATTTAGTTTTGTACCCAGAGAAACAATGCACCACTGCAATCCTAATCCCAACAGATGGTCTTGAATTAGCATGCTATAGGACATACACCAGACCAAATAAGAGCGCATGGAAAACATAATGCATAGAAAAAGGCAACGTGGAGCCCATGCCCTTCTGACAGTTGTTTTGTCATAAATTCTTTATAGAAGAAATATAGCACACTATTTTTATTGTTACTACTATAAATAGCCCAGAGTAAGCACTCGTATTTGTTAAATTAATGATTATTAGAAGGAATTTTTAATGTTTATCAATCACTTGAGGTCTATGATACAATAAATTGCTCTTCTCCAAAGCTCTTCTAGATGAAAATCTTTTTTCAACTTTTTCAAATTCTTGTAATATGCTACCATAGTACGATCTGCATTGTGTTTATTGATTCTGGTACCAGTGCTAACATCTTCATTTCAGTGGTGATGGCATTTGGGGGTCCTAGAATCTTTTAAAAAGAGACAAGTCTGTTAGGACTTATATAGTTCAGAGAACTTTATCTGCATGAGTCATACATAGATACACACATACGAAAAAAGGCTGGTAACCAATCAAAGTTATACATCTGGACCAAGATGAAGACATAGTATGGTTTCACAAGCTTCTCTCAATTTTAGTCACCTCCCACACTGCTGATCTAGAGTAGAAAAAAAAATTACCATCTAACGAGAAAGAAATTAATGACCTTTGTACCTAATTTGAAGAAATTTATTTTTCAAGGTCCTTTTCTTTTTTCTTTTTTTTTCTTTGTCAGTAGAAAAGACTGATATAGTAGAATTTCTAACACTTGCCCCAAAGCTCTGAAATCTCTGGGATTCATTATCCTTGGACCCAGAGTATGACTTAGGCATTCTCTCAACTCCTTTCTCAGTAATTAGAGGAATAGTGTCTCAGTTCATTTTGTGTTGCTATAAAGGAATACCTAAGGCTAAGTAATCTATAAAGAAAAGAGGTTTATTTGGCTCACAATTCTGCAGGCTGTGCAAGAAGCATGACACCAGCATCTGCTTCTGGTAAGGGCCTTTGGCTGCTTCTACTCATGGCAAAAGGTGAAAGGGGGCCAGCATGTGCAGATCATATGGTAAGAGAGGGAGAGAGGTACCAGGCTCTTTTAAACAATCAGCTCCCCCAGGAACTAATACAGAGAGAACTCACTCATTACCTCAAGGATGGCAGTAAGTCATTCATAAGGGATCCACCCACATGACCCAAAGGTTTCCCATCAAGCCCCATTATCAACAATGAGGATGAAATTTCAATATGAGGTTTAGAGGGGACAAATATCCAAACCACAGCAAACACCAAAACTGTATTGGTCTTACTTGTCAACAAAGGAAAAGAGTAAAAGCATTCAAAGACAATAAGGAAATAAAAACTATCATTGTTAATAAAATATAGGATGTGGCACTGTTTAAATCTGGAACAGTGTGACTTCAGTCCCCTTTCCCTCACCAAATTCTGATTTAGTTAATCCTTTCACATTCCCTCTATTATTTTTCAAGTGTTACTATTATTTAATAAACTTTATTGTTTAGAGCAGTTTTGGTGTATAGCAATATGAACTCAATTATCTTTCACATTGTTTACTCCCTAAGAGGCCTTGCTTCATTATTTGTCATTCAATCCCCAGTTTGAATAATTGTGTCACATCTGCAACACACAGTGCCTCATAGGCTACAGTGACAGGCTAAATTCCCATTATTCCAATCTAATGGCTATTAATCTCTTTCTCTAAAATGTTTCTTCAATATTACTATTTCTTCTTTCAATGTTGTTTATTCCTACTAAAATCAATTATTTTAGAGCAAAAAAATCAGGGTCCCATCTGAAAACTTTTACAGATTTTTTCCTAAGAAATATCTGAAAGTAGAACTATCTAGTCCTATCATGGGTTTGAATGTTCAAGATTTTTCTTTAATTATTTTCTTTGGTCAGTAGATAGACCAGTTTTAACTTTTTCATGTAGAGTCAACAAAAAGAGAAAGATCAGATTTATTTACAACTTGACTAAACCCTGCTTTAAATGGAGAAATATTTCCACTTTTCACTTATTTCATTTTACTTTCAGGTATTAGACAGTGTTGTTCTATATCTTGGTGAATTCTTTGATTACCCACTGATTGGTACTTAAACTTTTCTTGTATTGGGGACAAAAAATAGCATCAAATCGCTGAATTGGAAGGAAACTTTGAAGCCACTTTTATTTAATTCTGCCATTTCACAGTTGACAAAATAGAGGACAGATATTAAGACCCACCCAAAGGTCAAATCATTAATCACTGAGGGAATAAAGTTTAGGTCTTTGTGTATCAAGTAGCCATCTTTCATTATCTCTAAATGCCTTAGAAAATTTTTAGGCCTTTGCACTATCCAGGCTCGTGCTTGAGCAGGAGAAAAAGGAGGCTGGATGGCTAATAATTTATATTAAGGATTTAACTTTAATGGCAAACGGCTCAGAAAAAATCATCATGGGCTAAGTTCCAGCATGTTAGAGTCTCACCTCTCACTGTGTAAATCTTAATGCTTGAGCCATCAAAGGCAATGAACACCATCTCTTCAATCCCTGGGCTGAAAAACTTTCTCCTCTAGGTTTGGGCAGGTTTATCTGAGTAGCTGGGGATTGTTACAGCTCCTTCACTGAT